CCCTCAAAAAGCCCATGGTTGATTGGGTCATCTCACCAAATATTAAGATCTTGCCCGAGGCCATAATTGACAGGAGTTGTGTGTACAGGTGTGCGTGTATTTTGAATTAATTTATTTTAGCTCAGTGGTGGCGAACCTATGGCACGCGTGCCAGAGGCAGCACTTAGAGCCCTCTCTGTGGGCACGTGCGCCGTTGCCCCAGCAGAGTTCGCCAGAATAGTGAGCACTTGGCATTTGGAAGGCAGGAAGTGAGTGAGCAAGCGGCGTTGGCCCCCCCAGGGATGCCCCAGAGATGGCGAGGGACTGGCCCCCACCACCTTGGCCCCGGCCACACTCACCCAGTCTGCCGTGACCACTGCTGCCACACCCACCCAGTAGGCCACATCTCCCCCCCCCTGAGAGCACCACAATCCTGATGCAGCTCTGGCACTTTGTGATTAAATAAGTGGGTTTTGGGTTGCAGTTTGGGCACTCAGTCTCTAAAAGGTTCGCCATCCCTGTTTTAGCTGTTCCCTCGCATGTAGTAATCGCATTTTTCTGTAGGTGGCAGAAGCATCCCCTGATTCAGAGGGTCCAGGAACTTCCTCTGGGAAACTAATGGTAAGCAAGGTAAGTCCTCTTTCAAGCCTATTTACTCCAGAAATACTTGGATTGTTGTGTGGCCACCTGGTGCCCCTTGATCTCTCTTTGTGATGTCATGCTTCTTAAGTTAGAAAACCAAGCTACATTCTCTTCCTTTAAAAAAAAAGTCACAGGTTCTCATGAACAAAGGCATTCACGTTCCCCCTGCCATTGCAGGATTTCCCCCAAATATCGATAGAAGTAGAAGTAGCATTCAGAATTAAGTATCCAAAAAGCTGGAGGCAGAAGCCAGGCTAAATAATAATAATAATAATAATAATAATAATAATAATAATAATAATAATAATAATAATAATAATAATAATCCTGTTTCCTGTCTAGAATAAACCTCCCTGTCCTTCTTCCCCTGATGAATACTATAAGGCAGTGATGGCGAACCTTTTAGAGACCGAGTGCCCAAACTGCAACCCAAAACCCACTTATGCATCTTCGGGTGCCAGGTGGGTGTGGCCCATTGGGTGGGTGTGATCCATTGGGTGGGCATGGCTATGGTGGTAACGGCAGACTGGGTGAGACTAAAAAGTTCAATCAATCAATTCCAACTTTGCAAGATCTTTTTTTTTCCCGCGAGAAGTTGAAATTGACCGATTGATTGAACCTTCTTTTTTTTTTTTTTGCACACGGTGGCGGAGGCCTAAAGCGAAAAGGTTTATAAAACCCAGCTGAAGGCCTAGGACTGGGGCGATGGCATGCGTGCTCACAGAGAGGGCTCTGAGTGCCACCTCTGGCACCCGTGCCATAGGTTCACCACCATTGCTATAAGGTCAGAACATGGCTTACCAGCCGGTATTTAACTGATTGGAACATCAGTTTTATTGCTTGTCAGTACTGTAGCAAAGGGAATCTTGGACTGGGTTAGGATTATTGGATGTAGAAGAGGGAGCTTTGTGCCTGACTGTAACAACTCTGCTTGCTTGAGACAGAGTGCTAAATTTGTGAACAGATGTTGATTGAAGAGCCTTCATCCTATGGATGCAACACACCTCAGTGAGCACAGTGAGGGATGTTTGACTAATAATTATCTTTACTTGCTTTCTATACCTTTAGTCCTCATTTAGCAACCACAGTTGGGACCAGCAACTCAACTGTTACACAAAGTGGTCATTACATGAAACTGTGACTGTTCTAATCTTTCTCTTCTTTTATAGACCCGTGGCGGTCATAAATGAGAGGACTGGTTATAAAGTTACTTTTTCAGCATAGTCATAACTGTGAACAGTCACTAAACAAGACCTACTTGTGTTAATGTTCATGTTTATGCATGTGTGTGTGTTTGTGTTTGTGGGTGGGTATTTATATGTATACATGTATATGAATGTATTTGTAAAATATACATTTTAACCCGATTTTAATCTTATTCTTACTTAGAAATGGATTCCCCATGATGGGTCTTGTGTGCCCGTGATACCCATATTTTATATTATGGTTTTATACTTCTGTACCCTCTTTGCATTTTATGTTATAGTTTTATACCCTTCTATATCCTCTCATTTTGTATTGTTAAACCCCGATCTTTGGCCATAATAAAAGTTTCGTGATTTCGACTAACATACATAGAATTGCGTACAGGTAACTTAATGAGCAATAGAAATCAACTTGAGATGTCCTAACTAGAGGGGTTTTTTTTCCCCTGTAAAAAAACTCAGTTAAAAGTTAGCTGTTTTATGGACATAACGTGTTTCCCCGAAAATAAGCCCCAGTTAAGATCGCCAGCCAGACGGATGCATTTAGTACCATATTTTCCCGAATATAAGCCCTAATCCAGTGGTGGCGAACCTATGGCACGGGTGCCAGAGGCGGCACTCAGAGCCCTCTCTGTGGGCACGCGCGCTGTCGCCCCAGTCCTAGGCCTTCAGCTGGGTTTTATAAAACCTTTTCGCTTTAGGCCTCCGCCGCCGTGTGCAAAAAAAAAAAAAGGTTCAATCAATCAATTTCAACTACTCGCGGGGAAAAAAAAAGATCTTGCAAAATTGGAATTGATTGATTGAAATTAGTCCCACCCAGTTACCACCGCAGCCAGGCCCACCCAATGGACCACACCCACCCAGTGGGCCACACCCACCCGGCACCCGACGATGCATAAGTGGGTTTTGGGTTGCAGTTTGGGCACTCGGTCTCTGAAAGGTTCGCCATCACTGCCCTAATCATTCGAAAACAAGCCCTAATGCACCTTTTGGAGCAAAAATTGATATAAGACCCGGTCTTGTTTTTTTTTTTTTTTTAAAAAGAACTCATTTGTACTACTGTGTTTCTGGATACCTGGTGCCTGTGTTAAAACAATTATTCAGCTTATATGTTCTGTTTTTTTAAAAAAAAATCTCCAGGTCAAACGGCAGATGAAAAGGCAACCGTCTAAAGGACACGTGGATGCCTGGAAAGACCAGTGCAAGCAATTACTAAGCCTGATCTATGAGCGTGAAGACTCCGAGCCATTTCGTCAACCTGTTGATCTCTTTTCTTACCCTGTGAGTTTTGCTTTTTTTTTTTCTGAGTTTGGGAGGACAGGAAAAACATCCACCTGTGAAAATGCAGTCTTGTCTCTGAGGCTCTTCACACCCAGAGTTCTACCTCTTCCAGCCACTAGCACAGGATGGAAAAAGCATCTGGCCTGCTCCAGTTGATTCTTGGGCTTGAAGTACCTTTTGGAGTTAAGAATGTTCCATGAGACTTAGGGAAAGGAAGTTTTAATATCCTTCCTTTAACATTTGGGATGGAAAAATTGGGGGCACTCTAACTCTCCTCAGTCAGACCGGGTTAGTACATTGATACTGGGTTAATAAACATGTCCTTCAAACCACTTTTATTAGATTTTGAAGTTTTCATAGGTGCAAAAATATTCCTCTCAGGATTATCGAGATATTGTGGACACTCCCATGGACTTCAGCACTGTGAAAGAAACTTTGGAAGCGGGTAATTATATGAATCCTCTCGAATTCTACAAAGACATCCGCTTGATATTCTACAACTCCAAAGCGTACACTCCCAATAAGAAATCAAGGGTAAGATATGAACACGTAATCAGTAGCTATTCTATATATCTCCTGCCTAAGATGCCTATTCCCCCCTGCAGCTTTTAAACGGTGTCATGTTTTAAAATTAAGAAATTAACTGAAAATAGCTGCTTTTTTTCTCTCGTTCCAGTCAGAGTGGTTTTTAACCACTCCTCTTAATTCTCTTCTTTACATCAGCACCTTCGCTTCCGATACGGATGCCCTGTTGGCAAAGACATGTTTGCCAATAAACTATTATACAGATCCTCAACTTACACAACTGTTCATTAAATGACCGATCAAAGTTATGATGGTTTCAGAAAAAATGACTTACAACCACCGTTTGCATTTGCAACTGTCGCACTGCCCCCCCCATTGTCATGCGTTCACAATTCAAGTGCTAATAATAATAATAATGATGATGATGATGATGATGATGATGATGATGATGATGATGATGATGATGATAAAGTTGGAAGGGACCTTGGAGGTCATCTAGTCCAACCCCCTGCTCAGGCAGGAAACCCTACACCATTTCGGACAAATGGCTGTCCAGTCTCTTCTTAAAAACTTCCAGTGTTGGAGTATTCACTGCTTCTGGAGGCAGGTTGTTCCACTGGTTAATTGTTCTAATTGTCAACCAACTTGCATTGATGCACCTGTTACAGTGTCCTGCAGTCATGTGATTGTGATCTGCAACTTAACCCAGCCAGGTTCTGACAAAACGATCAGTGGGGGGAAGCTTAACAATAATAAATAATAATGGTAAAAATGGTCATCAGTTCTGGCCCAGTCGTGTGATGACTTGCTTTATGACAGAAATTTTGGCCCTAATTGTGGTTGTAAGTTGAGGATTGCCTGTAATAAGTCTGAAAAAACGCATGGCCAATATCAGGTGTTCTAGCTAAAGGACTCCTTTCTTGTTTGGTTGAACATTTTAAAGCTTTTTATTTATTTTTTTGCCCCACTGAAAACACCTCCGTGCAGCTAGTTTTTTTGGCTGAATCTATGAAACACTTTGGATAGACTTGAGGAATTAGCTTCTGCTGGAACCTGGGTAACAAGCAAACCGATGTAAGGTTGGCAGAGTTTCTGGTCCACATCACTCTTGAATGCAGATATTTCTTCCTTCCTTCCTTCCACAGATCTATAGCATGACACTCCGACTCTCTGCCTTATTTGAAAACCACATCAAAACCATCATTTCCGAGTACAAGTCGGGTGTTCAGTGTCAGAAGAGGCGAAGGCCGCGGTTGCGGTACCGAAAGAGGCTCCGAAGCAGTAGCAGCGGTTCTTCCTCTAGCAGCAGAGAGCCAAGGTAGTAGCAAAACGGACTCGTTGCCTGCGAAATGGTGCTTCTATTATTACTATCCTTCTCATCTCTCTACTTATAACCTGTTATCAGTATCATCATTATGACTGTTATTACTCTGTTGTTTTGCGTTTATACCGAGAGCTTCTGCACTAAAGACAAATTTCTTGTGTGTCTATTCACACTTGGCCACTAAAGTATTCTATTCTATTCTGTTCTGTTCTATTATTCTTGTTCCGCTCCACTCCACTCCACTCCATTCCATTCTTCTTATTCTGTCCTGTTTTGTTCTGTTCTATTATTCTATTCCACTGGTGTCAAATTGCCGGCCCATGGCCTGGTTGCATCATACAGAGGCTGCGCCCACCCCAGCTCTGGCAAGGCAAAAAAAAGTCGCAATACGTTGCAACATGTCACGTGATGCGGCGAGTTTGACACCCGTATTCCTATTCTATTCTATTCTATTCTATTCTATGTAAAGATTCTATTCTCTTCTATTCTATTCTACATTCTATTCTGCATTCTATATAAAGATTCTATTCTATTCTACATTCTATTCTGTTCTGTTCTGTTCTATTCTATTCATTTTCTCTATTCTATCCTATCATTCTATTCTATTCTATTCTATTCTATGTAAAGATTCTATTCTCTTCTATTCTATTCTACATTCTATTCTGCATTCTATATAAAGATTCTATTCTATTCTACATTCTATTCTGTTCTGTTCTGTTCTGTTCTATTCTATTCATTTTCTCTATTCTATCCTATCATTCTATTCTATTCTACATTCTATTCTATTCTATTCTATATAAAGATTCTATTCTATTCTACATTCTATTCTATTCTATGTAAAGATTCTATTCTATTCTATTCTACATTCTATTCTATTCTATTCTATTCTATTCTATATAAAGATTCTATTCTATTCTACATTCTATTCTGTTCTGTTCTATTCTATTCTATTCATTTTCTCTATTCTATCCTATCATTCTATTCTATTCTATTCTATTCTATTCTATTCTATTCTATTCTATTCTATTCTATATAAAGATTCTATTCTATTCTACATTCTATTCTAATCTATTCTACATTCTATTCTACATTCTATTCTACATTCTATTCTATTCTATATAAAGATTCTATTCTATTCTATTCTATTCTATTCTACATTCTATTCTATATAAAGATTCTATTCTATTCTGTTCTGTTCTATTCTATTCTCTCTCTTATTCTATCCTATCCTATCCTATTCCATGTTAGATGTCCTCCTCCTTTTTTAATTGTGGCTATCAATCCACTGTACTGCTCACTCTGCAACCCTTTGCACCCACAAGAAAATCAATGGGAAGATTTTTAGAAGGGAAGGCGAAAGCAGTTTTTAAAGACCCTGCAATGCATGATACAATGAAAGATAGAGCAGAGAATAAGATCTGCAGATCAGACTTAGGCCAGACTTTGTAAAGTGGAAAAAAGAAAGGAAGGGCCAGAACAGTGTCTAACTGGGGGGAGGGGGGGAGACTGCAACAAGCTTCCTATGATTAACCAGGTTAAAAAAAAATCTCTTATTCAATTTGGATTAAATGATCTCCAAGGTCCCTCCCAACTTTATTATTATTATTATTATTATTATTATTATTATTATTATTATTATTATTATTATTATTATTATTATTATTATTATTATTATTATTATTATTATTATTTGTTTTCCTTCTTCCATGCCTTCAGCCCAAAAGGAAAACAGAAACAACTGAAGATGCAGCCTAAAACAAACTTGAATACCTCACTGCCTTTAACTAGGACTAATTCTTCAGTTTCATCTCATGGTAAGTAGGATTGGTTGGTTCATATATTCATTCATTCAGTCAATCAATTTGAACAGCCACCCATCTTGGCTGGGGGGCTCTGCAGGGCAAACCCCCTTAATAAATTAAAAACACATTTCAAGTGGCTGTGCCATAAGCTTTTGCTCCAGCAAGCTGGATTCAGTTCAGGTCAGCAGATATCATCTCATTTTCAAGAATGTTCTGCGTTACCCTAGAACTGATATTGGAGGGGTATTTGGGGTTAATCGACTTCAGGGAGGCCATATAATACTCTCTCCCAGGGGCCATTCCTTTAAATAGGCTTTTTTTTGGGGGGGGGGCGCAAAACTCAGCACAAAGCATGAATCATGGTGACCATGAAATCTCTCGAGAGGTCATAAAACTGATCCACCCGGCATGTAGTCACGTGACTGAAGGGAGACAGCGCATTTTACAGGGACCAGGGCCTTAAAGCTGTCCTTCTGTGGCCATTGTTAAGAACGAGCGGCTGTAAATCAACTCTTCATTAAGTAAGGACTACCTGTAATTAGAAGAAAGTTAGCAAATCAATAATCTGTTGTAGGCTGATCTTAAGTATCAGAGAGTGGGCCCTCCAAATGGCTTTTGCTTGGGGGGGAAAAACCCCTTCTATCTCTAGGATCTAGGCCAGTGGTTCTCAACCTATGGGTCGGGAACCCATTTGGGGTTGATCGGCCATTTCACGGGGGTCGCCAAGTAAGGCCGTCCGCCATTTTTTCCCCTTTTCCGGCGGGTGCCTTACCTCCCTTGGGCTGGGCCAGCTGGTGGTCGGCCTGCTCTGTCTCTGCCGCTTGCCAGCTATGCCTCGGCCGGCGCAGGGGGCGGAACCACGCATGCGCGGCGCTCCCGGGCAGGGAAAGTCCTCGACTTACGACCGGTTGGGTAGTCCTCGACTTACGACCGGTTTAGTCCTCGACTTACGACCGGTTTAGTCCTCGACTTACGACCGGTTTAGTCCTCGACTTACGACCGGTTGGGGGTCGCGGCATTAAAAAGGTTGAGAACCACTGATCTAGGCTGAGGTTTCATCTTGATTTGATCTTTCCCCCCCATTGCTGAGCATCTGCTTAAGTTTCAGATACAGAGGAAGCCCCTGGTTCACCTACTGCCGAAGAGATGGAAAGGCACTCCTCGCCTGGCTCCAACAGCAGCCAGGATCGTAGTGGAAATGACGTGGAAGCAGGGAAAAACAAGCCGGTGAGAAATAAATCCACGCCAGTGAAACAAGGTAGGAAACTGCAGACATCAAAACTTGTTCCCTTCCTTCTCTTCCTTCCCCCGTCCCCTCATTTCAACGGATTTCCCTTTTGTTGATTATCCTGGGCCACGTAAACTCTTACGAATCAGTCAGTGTCTGGCAACCTTAAGATGTGTGGACTTTATAACTCCCAGAATTCCCAGGGCAACATGCTTTTTAAGTTCTGTGTACCGCTGGCTGGCGAATTCTGGGGAATTGGAAGTTCGCACATCTTGTAAGTGAAGGCTGAGAAACGCTGCCCTAAATTAGAAGTGAATCATTTTTCTCTCCTTTCTTTCTTTCTGCTTTAATAAAGGGGTAGCCTATTTGGGGGGGGGGGAAGGGGAGGGAGACTCGGTTCTCTCTGGAAGTGGAGAAGAGCAAAATTAGCAGGGACTTTCCCCCCCCCCTTCGATCAGCACCGAAGCAGTTCCAAGAAGGCGGGTCTAGAAATGGCATCCTACATCGATGCTGAGCATCTGAGACGGTTTGCAATGGTGAAAAAGGCAGCATTCCAGAGATATTATCAGTTCGTGTTTCTCTTCCCCATTGTACATTGTATGTGGGGGGGGTGATCCATTCAGACAACACGAACTTACTGGTTAGTGAACTTAGAACAGACATGTCAAACACAAGGCCCGGGGGCCAGATGCGGCCCGCGAAGTGGTTTCATGTGGCCCGTGAAGCCATCCTGGAAACAGTGAGGGAATGGCCCCTGCTGCCTTGGCCCTGCCCCAGGCCGGCCGGGAGCCAATGTACAATTTTGTGGTGGCCATCTATGCTGAAACGCATTCAGTCTTAGCTCCACAAGGCCGTCTGGAAACAGCGAGGAACCAGCCCCTGTTGTGTTGGCCCCGCCCCCTGAGTGCATGCTGGGGAGGTGTCACCCTTTGTGAGGAATGAAGAAATGGACCATGCCTTGGCTCTTGCCCTGGTCCCATCCCCTTCTGCCAGAGACCCTCAGATCTGTCCCACTCCTGCCCAGGCCCCCACAGGCACCCTTGACGCAAACGATGTAGAGCTGGCCACGCCCACCCAGTAGGCCATACCCACGCCTACCCAGTAGGCCGCACCCATCCTGGCCGCACCCACCCGGCCCCCCGAGGGCAACCGCAATGCTGATGCGGCCCTCAATGAAATTGAGTTTGACACCCCTGCCTTAGAATGGTTCACCTAGTTTGGGGGTCTTCTCACCAATGGGCCACTAAGGCTAACTCAGTATTAGTAATCATATGTGCATCGATTTGGATCTCTCTCTAGATCAGCCTTCCGAAAAGCCTCTGACGAACGGGGACGGGAAAGAATCTCGAACGGGGGTCAAGAGGAAGATGTCCAGTGCCTCCGAAGAGGAGGAGGAGGACGAGGGGAGCCAAGAGAAGAGAGAACCGAAAGGAAAACCTGGCTTGTCCTCCGACAGCGGAGACTCGCGCTCGGGCTCCAGTTCCGAAAGCAGAGCTGGCTCTGATTCAGATTCAGAATCCAGCTCTCGGACAGATCAAGACTACATCGATGGAGACCACGACTACAGCAAATCCGTGCAAGTGAAGCCGAGAAGAAAGCTTCAGAGGAGCCTCCCCAGAGGGCGGAGAAATTGGCAGGGCCGGGGGACCGGAAGGCGAGGGCGCTGGGGCCGATGGGGGAGATGGAGCCGAGGGGGCCGAGGCAGCCGGGGAGGAAGAGGATGCAGCCAGGGGCGAAGAGGAGGCCGGGGAGGAAGAAGAGGCCGCGGGAGAGGAGCCTCGCGGGCCAAGCGCCCCCGCATGGCCGAGGACGAGTTCGAGAACCTTTTTGGCGGCCGCTTCAACGAGAACGCCTTTGGCGGGCGCTTCAGCCGGCCCCCTCGGATTAAGACCAGGAACGAAGGCCGGCGGACTGTTTTATACAACGACGATTCGGACAATGACACTTTCGTCCACACCGAGGATCCCCTGAACCTCGGTACTTCCAGGTCGGGCAGGGTACGGAAAATGACCGAGAAGGCCAGGGTTAGCCATCTGATGGGATGGAATTATTAAACCGACACGGGGCGATGGTGACGTGGGCAGGGGAGGAGAGACCCGAACAGTGACGTTAGGACTTCCAAGGCTTTTTATACTGCAGGGAATTTCACGCCAGAAAATCTGCTAAGCAAATTCTGGGGGAGGGAATCTGCTGATTCCTGCCCCCCCCCACCTCCCCATGGTGCTTTTTCATAAGGTTTTCATGTGTTTGAAGGCTTCTGCTTGCTGGCCGATGCGGGCTACCAAAGTCTTCTTTGCACATCCTATTACCTGCAGAAAATGCTTTTTAATCACACTAAACCTTGAGTTGGTCACACAGGACTTGTGGCAGTTAGATTTGTGCTTACGAAGTCTCTCCTTGTTGCTTTCTCTTTTTTCCCCCCTTTTTTCCTTTTGTGTGTGTGTGTGTGTGCATTATAGAAGCAGCACCTTCTTAACCAAGATTTTTAAAACATTGTCTGCCATGAACTTCCTTACCTATCATAATAACTTTTGCACAATACACAGATCCTAAAAGGCAGCTATAAAATGTTTACAGTTTCTCTCTCGTGCGCAGGATCCAGATTACTTTTGATCTCTTCCCCCCCCTTTCCAGGCCAAATGTTCACGAATTTGTGATAGATACTGAAATATGCCCCCATAGGGATGTCCTGATATGCTTTGTTCCCTTCCCCCCCCCATTGGTTTTTATTGTTTTAATTTATGTTTTAAAAGGGAGAGGATGGGTGGGTTGGTGCCTTGTAAATAATGTAGCAAATCAAAGATGTGAAATCTCTTAACACCTACATTAATGTTATTATGAACAACGTACTTGAGAACTAGGATTATCTAAGATACACCGGGTGCCAAACGCAAATAATACCCTAGCATCTGTGTTTTTCTTTTCCTGCAGCCCTTTTATTTTTATGTAACATCCATTGAGATGGTCTCAAGATGATAACATCTGAGATGGTCTCGAGATGTTCGCATCAATATGGAATGGTTTCCTCATCCAGGTGTCTTCTTCAGTAGCTTAGCTACTTCCAGACTTCTGAGTTTAGTCTGTTTCCCTCTTGAATAATGACATTGTAATAGACGATGTGGCAGGAACAAAATCACTTGATAAACTACAGAATAATGTCATTGGTCTCCAGTCTGACAATCAACTCATCAGATGCTTCTCACAGACCTCGTGGAGGTGGACCACCCTGTGTGTGCATTTCCCCGATGCAGCCATAGCATTATTATAATATTCTTATTTGATTCTTAAAAAACATTTAACACTTCCATTTGTAGACATTGAGGTATCCTTGCTGGCTCACTTCATATGTACATAACTGTTGTATCTTTTTTTTTGTTTTTCCTTTAATGTTTTAAGTCACCCATGATGCTTCCAGAAAAGAATTTAGGCCTGCTCACCCAGAGGTATATATAAGATAGAAGCTTCCTCTAGTTCAGTGGTTCTCAACCTTTTTAATGCCGCGACCCCCAACCGGTCGTAAGTCGAGGACTAAACCGGTCGTAAGTCGAGGATTACCCAACGGGTCGTAAGTCGAGGACTTTCCCTGCCCGGGAGCGCCGCACATGCGTGGTTCCGCCCCCTGCGCCGGCCGAGGCATAGCTGGCAAGCGGCAGAGACGGAGCAGGCCGACCACCAGCTGGCCCAGCCCAAGGGAGGTAAGGCACCCGCCGGAAAAGGGGAAAAAAATGGCGGACAGCCTTGCTTGGCGACCCCCGTGAAATGGTCGATCGACCCCAAATGGGGTCACGACCCATAGGTTGAGAACCGCTGCTCTAGTTCCTCTATTTGTTTCAATGAAGGAGCTGATAGAATCGCTCTTCCTTCCGTTCTGCATGCTGTATATTTTTTTCTCCCGTTGACATAGAGAGGGAAGTTCACAAATAATGAAACGTCTAATATGAATTTTGGCCCGGTGGGGATTTTTGGAGCGAAAATAATCACGTATTACTTAATTCTTGGGGGGGGGGAGTTTTGCAGAGGGCTGTTGTGTTTGCATTTAAAAGTATATTCAATATATGTCACCCAGTCAGAGAAAAGTTTCATTTCCCTTACAGCTGTAGCATGTTAAATGTTCCTAAGATATATTTGTCTTTTCTGAGATGGACAAGGGGCATATATAGAATTCCCAATAGCAATCATTCTATAGGAGGAGGAAGAGATATTTTTTTTCTTCTTCTAGTTTTGTGATCAGGTGCTTTCTTGGGGGGAGGGGCTGGCCTGGCACCAATCATTAGTGTTGATTGATCTTCACTAAATAAGAGTAGGATCTACAATAATGTAATAAAAAGTCTGCACACGGATGCAGCCTAGATCTTTCGTAACGCAATATATACTTCAATACTTGGGGGGTTTGGGTGATTCAAAATTGATTGGGAGAAAATGCTTTGGAACTCACGTGAGTGTGGCACCCCTTACTCTTCCTTAAATGACCCTGAAGACAGAGGCTTGGCTTTTTAGAGCTGCTTTAATGAATTGACTCCTTAAAGCACCTTGAAAGCTTCACAAATGCCCCTGGCTGCTTTAGGTATTAGTATTAGTAGATGCAAGGGCTGAAGCATTTATTTAAAATCACACCGAAGCACGGACAGGCCTCACACGTACACAAATCCATGCCGTATTTTAGACAAGAGGGAAGGCACTTACCAAATTGCTGTGGTGTGTTAAAATTTGTAAAAGGTGACAGGTGAAGAATAAAG